GCTGCTTTTTTTTGCGGCTAGAGCTCTCGCCCACATTCTCCACTTGCATAACCACATCCTTTGACACATTCTCCTTCCTCTTAGTCACCATTTGCCATTCTTGAGTAATATTCAAGTTCTTGTTCTTGGCGCTTTCCTTCTCAAATCTAGGGGCCAAGTGACATTCCTTCAAATTGTGCCCAAAAGTTCTACACAAAAGGCAGGCCCTCAGTTTCCAAGAATACTCCACCCCTATGTTTACACAATCACCATTCGGGAGGCCTAGTTCCACTGAATTCGAGAATGAAGAAGCTCTGTCAATTTCAACACAAACTCTTGCATACTCCAATCTATCCCCCGCATCCGTGTGTTATCCATGTAGAGAGGTTTCCCAATAGCGCTCGCAACATAGCTCAACCCTTTAGTTGTCCAAAACTCCAACGGAACTCCACTAAATTTGACCCAAATCGACACACTACTATTGCCTTCACTTGCCTTTTTTAAATTCGGATGCCATTTTTTGAGGTAAAGGGGCTGGCCCCTAATATGCCAAGGGCCTCCTTCCAAGGCCTCATCTATGGAGCTCTCATTATCAAATTTCAGAATAAAGCCCCTAACCCCGTTTGAGACAACACCAACCTTGCCGAAGCACTTCCAATTCCTATCGATAAAACCCTTCACAAGAGAGAATGGCAACCTTCTACCAAGGAAGAAACCAACGAGACAATTTCCCCATTTGTCCCTCCCTAAATCAGCAACCTTTTTAGGAGGTATAACCCTTATCTTCCTCCCATCATCAAGGATTTTCGGTGCAAAATAATACATGGGAGCACTGGATTTCGAAACAAAAAGTTTTCTCCAGGATGCAATACCAACAGGCTTTAATTCCCCATCCACCTTTTCCTCTAAAGTCCCACCTCCACTCACCGATTTCTCGCCATGCATCATAATTGGAGGCACCTTTGAATCAACCAGCACATTCCCATCACACATTTCCACACCAACCTTATCAATCTCTTTTCCACCCACAACTTGCTACTTCTTAAACACCCTACTAGAACTCTTAGCCCCACTTGTATTCAAAGAATTCACAAGAAAATGACCATTAGGAGGCAAAGTATGGCTTTGGGAAGGTTTGGGAAGTGGAGGGAAAAAATGTTTTTTGGTGATGTGGCAGGGCTAGTGACGTGGCATCTTGGGGGACGTGGCAAGATGAGTCAGCTTAAGATTGAGCTGACTCATCTTGCCACGTCCCCCAAGATGTTAATCAACTTGGTAAAGACTTCAGTTGCACTTTAAAAATGTGTATCCTAATGATGAATAGAGTTTACCAACTTTATCAATTTGAAAAATAAATATGAGTACTCTTATAGGATTAGGAGATGTATTTTGAGAAGGTCATATAAGACATAGTTCAAAGTTGATTTTAGCTACAGGAAAGAGAACTCTTTATTCTAGTTACACTAAACACCACCCTCTGAATCTCTAATGTCTTGTTGCTTTAAGGATCTCCTCACGACGGGAAGATACCGAAAGAACACTTGAGCTCCACCCAAGCTTCACGCGCCAAAGCCATGCTCCAGTATCAACAATGGAACCAAGTTCCAGTAGCCATTCAATCAAGGATAAGAGATGATGAGTGTTTGACACTAACATAGTATGAACCTTTAAGGAAAAATACTCTCTGAAAATTTCTGAGCACAAGCAAATATAATATCAAATGTTATCTTTCAAATGAGCAAGAATGAAGATGATAAAGGCCAATTTTGTGCTCTCCAACTTTTGCCAAGTTAGCAAATAACGGTTGACATATGTTGGTTCAAAAATGGAAAAGATTCCACCAATCTTTTTGGGACCACAACCAAAAAGGGAAGAAACTTATTTTCCTAGACCACAAGAGGATATTGGGACACCTATAGGTGGTCTTCATGACATCATAATAGATGGACAAAAAATATCTCAATTGATAAAGATAAAAACACAACTTGTGAAAAATGAGTCAGGCATGCAATGTTAGCATAGTAGAAAAGTGTGCGCACACATGAAGTAAAATGCAAAATGAAATAAAACATGCATATGTCTAACGTAAGTGTGTAAGCACACATCCATTGTGAACACACATGAATGAAAATGCAAAAGGCATAATCCTACATAGCTGTACATATGGAGGACAAAAATAATTCTAACCAAATTAAAAGTTTTTAGGTTGTCATCTAAACTGTTCACGTTAGTCAGAGAAATGCTCTCTTTTCTCTATAGGATTAGAAACCAGCCCTCTTTCCATTTTTTCTTCTCCACCCACCACCCCTCTCTCCACCCTCATCCTCCACTTTTACCATTAAACTCCACCTGTCCCTCTAACTAGAGAGCTTCATCATTTCCTTTACTTTTCTTTTCACATTTTCTTTCACAAACCTCCACTTTGTTTTTCTTTTTTGTTAACCTTTTAGTTTGCTATGTTTCAGTCTGTCTTTGCTGTGTTTGGGGGTTTTATTTGGGTTTAAATCAAGCTCCTTGGTTGTTTGCTCTCTTGGCCTCTCTTGTCCTCTCTTTTGCTTGTTGGTGGCTGTTGTGGTTGAGCTAGTTTGTGTGGGCTGTTTCTTGGCTTGGCTAGATTGGGAAGAACGTGGGTGGCTGGAGTTTTGCTGGTTGCTGGAGTTGTTTTGTTTATTTTCGTTTTTTTGGAGTTGCTGTTTTGTGTTGAAGTGAGGTAAGAGTAAAGGGGCTGTTTGTGGTTTTGTTTTGACTGGAAATGTAGACTGGGTTGGTGGTGTAGCCTGTTGCTGCCGGATTCTTGCTGGTCACCGGAGTGTGGGTGCTTCTTTGGCCAGAGCTTTTCTGTTTTGGCTAGAGTTGTCTGCCATTTTTTGTTATTGTTCACTAATTGAGTGAGATAGCTTGAAACCATCTAATTGCTATCCATTGGTACCCTTCTCTCTCATTCACTAATTGAGTGAGATAGCTTGAATCCATCCGATTTTTTGTTGTTGTTCACTAATTGAGTGTTTTTCTTTTAATGATCCTAACCTAGGGAGGTGTCCTATGGTAGGTGGAATTGTTGTTGTTCTCTTTGCTTTCTTCTTGGTTTTTGTGGTTTCAGATTAACCCCAAGAGTGAATGGCCATTTGCAGGCTTGTTTCCTTTGATTCCTATTTTGGGGCATGTCCCAAAATAGGTTGGTCGCCCTTTATCAGGCCTTTGTACATTCTTCTCTCTTTTTTTTTTTTTTTTTAAATATAATTACTTACTTAACAAAAAAAAATTGAGAGAAACACAAAACTTTACTAATCTTCGTTGAAGTTGTTTCTTGTTAATTACGAAGAAGAGGAGCTAATGTTAACATATATACTCTTCCCATTCAATAGCCTTTTACACTTGAAACAACAGCGTATTGGGTGCTCATTATTTAAGCTTCAATGCTTCAGAACGACAACATTTCCTTTCAATGACTATGACTTTGGCACTTTATCATTTGTCCAACAGTGCCCCTCAAACTGGACTGCCTAAGCTATTTACATTGCGCTGTTTGCACTGCCTAAGCTATTTGCATTACGCTGTTTGCATTGTGCCAAATGACTGGGCTGCAATATCTCACTAAAAAAAACTTCAAATCTGTAATAGCAGAACTAAAAAAAAGTCAAGTATCCGGGCTGAACTGCAACATAGTGAGGAAATATCTAAGCTGCAAGCTGAATACATCAATCAACTGAATTGCAACATAGTGAGGAAATATCTGAGCTACAAGGTGAATATATCAACCAACTGAATGAGCTACAAATCATATCAAAAGCAAGATAGTTATATGAGTTGCAAGGATCAATTATCAGAACTTCAAGACACCAATTTATCAAAACTGCAGAAGAGCAATTTTTTGAGCTGCAAATTAGATCAAAAGCAAGATAGTTATCTGAGCTGCAAGGATCAATTATCAGAACTGCAGAAGAGCAATTAAATGAGTTGCAAAGCAGATTAGAAGTAAGGCAAGAAGTAATCAGTATGGAATCAACTATCATTTACTTGCAAACATTTCCTAGTGACACCACATTCAATTTGGCTCTTAACTCAGTGAACTAAGCAACTGAAAGGGCTTTAGTAAGAAGATCCGTAATCTATAGCTTAGAGGGAATATATTGGATGGCTAGATTTTTTGCCAAGACTTGTTCTCAAACATAATGACCATCAATCTCAATATGTTTGGTTCGAGCATGAAATGCGGGATTAGATGCAAGTGCACCAGCACTAACATTATCACACCAGATTACTAGTATAGTGTGAAAGGTTAGGCCAAGCTCAGTAAACACTTTTCAAGCCAAGCTATCTCTGTGGTAGTGTGAACAAGGGCTCTGTATTCAGCTTCAGTGGAGGAAAGAGCAATAACTTTTTATTTCCTAGAACTCCACTGAATTAAGTTTGGTCCTAAGTATGCATAATAGCCACTGGTAGATCTTCGATCCTCTATACTTCCTCCCTAATCAGTATCGACATCACACCTAACATGAAGAGTGTTTGCTGGTTTAAAAAGAAGGCCAAGGTGTAGAGTACCTTTAATGTACCTCAGCACCCTCTTACAAGTTTGCCATTGAAGTTCAATAGGTGTTTGTAAGAATTGACTTAACTTGTTTACAGTGCAACGAATATTTGGTCTTATAAGAGTTAAGTATTATAGTGCTCCTACAGTATACTTGAGCTAAGTTTGACACCAATAGTCATCGGAGTTGAGCATGTATGTGCCTTCGAACTAATAAATCTGAAGCATACTTGGACCATTTTAAGTGAATACCTGCTGAATCTCTTGTTGCTTCCAAGCCCATAAAATATTTGAGTGAGCCAAGTGTCTTTAAGGCAAAATTATCATTAAGATCTTTCATCAATTGCTTAATGAAGACCTGATCAGAACCTATGATCAATATGTCGTCGACATACACTAGTACATAAATGGAACCAGTGTCTTGTTTAAGGATAAATAAACTTGAGTCTGATACTAAGTTTTGAAAGCCTTTAAGTTGTAGAGCAACCTTCAATCAATCAATGCAAGCTCTTGGAGCTTGCTTGAGACCATAAAATGCTTTGTTCACCTTGCAAACTACATCTGGAAAAGCAGAACTCTCAAAACCAGGCGGCTGCTTCATGAAGACTGATTTAGTTAAAACTCCATTAAGAAACGCATTGTTAACATCTATTTGTTAAATATCCCACCCATATGTCACAACTAGAGTGAGAACAATACGTATAGTAGCTGGTTTAATCACCGGACAGAAGGTCTCAAAGCAATCCAGATCGAGAGTCTGTTGAAAGCCCTTTATAACTAACCGGGCCTTATATTTCTATAGGGTTCCATCAGCATTAAATTTTGTGCGAAAAAACCCCATTTTTTCCCCACTATGTTCATGTCAGAAGTAGAGGCAATAAGAGTATAGTTGTTGTTAGCTATAAATAAGTGCATCATACTCACACTGCATGGCAGCTTTCCAGTTGCTGATCTGGAGAGTTTCATAAACTGTACCAGGTTCTGATTCAGTAGATTCAGTGATGCTAGATCCACCAATGAGAAGTACAAAATGATTATCATCACCAGTTTGACTATAAGGAACAATATGGGACTGGACGGCTAACTTAGATCTGGTCACCATTGGATGAATATTCACAGATGTTGATTTATCATTTGGTTCAGCAGCAACTTGCAATGAATTGAGATCAACAACAAGCTAACATGGTGGTGATTTATTGGAACAAAGAGTCTTACCGAGACAATTGTCATTTGGTTCAATAGCAACTTGCGATGAAGTGAGATCAACAACAAGCTGACATGGTGAGGAAAAGCAACCTGTAGGGATAATAGGGAGAGTATCTACTATGGTTTGATTGTGATCAGTGAATATTTTATGATCAGAATCAGGTATAGTAGGAAATCAGATGGGTTAGACATAAAATTAAATCTGGAAGAGATATTGGGAGAAGTAATTAGAATTGTATGAGCTATTATAGTGTGGGGAGAAGACACAACGAATTGAGAAGTCTTACCAATTGCTGCATTGTCTGAAGGTGACTGATTAGTAGAGTCAATTACTGCAAGTGAATCAAGGGGAGCTGAAGGGTGATAATGACTAGGATTAGAGCCATAAGGGAAATTTAAAATTTGTGTATTTGTACAAGTGTCAACACTGGTCTGAGATGGAGAGTTTAGATTTGAGTGTAGGAAAGAAAACATATTATTGACTGCAAAAGGAAATTCCCATTCATTGAATTGTACACTAGGGATGATAATTACTGTTCCATCAGGTTTTAGACATTTGTAACCTTTGTGCAATAAACTATAACTAACAAAAACACACTTTATGGTATGAAAATCAAATTTGTGCCTATTGTAATGCCTAGTGTAAGGAAAACATAAGCAACCAAGGACTTTTAAGCCTTCATAGATAGGAGTTTGGTTAAAAAGCTTTTGATAAGGACACACATTATTTAGGATAGGGGTAGGCAGTCTATTGATTAAGTAAATAGCAGTTTCAAAGGCTAGCCACTAGTATTGTAGTGGCATGGATGCATGGACCAAAAGTGTAAGACCATACTCTACAATGTGTATATGTTTCCTCTCACTTTTACCATTTTGTTGGTGAACATAAGCACAAGATTGTCTAACCTGAATGCCTTAGTCAACTAAGTATGGTAAAAGGGCTTTGTATTCCCCACCTTGATTAGATTGTAGGGTTTTGAGTTTACATCCAAATTTCTTTTCAGCAAGATGTTGATATTTGATGAAAACTGATCTGACTTCAGCTTTGGTCTTAAGGGGATACAACCCTGGAATCTACTATAGTCATCCAAAAATTGCACATAGTATTTAAAACCTTCTACTGAGGTACAAGTGGCTAGAAAACTAGACTGATGTAATTTACCTAATTGACTAGCATCACAGTAAGTAACACTGGAACTAACAGAGGTCATAAAATTTTATGGAAATTTTAAATGCAAATTAGTAAAAATTTGATGCAGAGTTTGTGAATGAGGATGGCCTAATCGTTTGTGCCAAAGCATGTACTCATCAGACTGTGTGTTGGCAATTAAACAATGAGAATCAGTATTTTTTTTTTTTTTTTTTGGGTAAGTAAGCTTTTATAGAAAGGGGAAAGAATGTACAAAAGGCCTAAGAGTCGGCCAATGCACCTCAAGACATGCCCTGGGTTAGGAGCAAATGAATGATACTATCTAAGTCTACCCCTAATCTTCTCTTTTTCCCATACCGCTTATCAAAGGAATGGAACCAAGCAGAGATTAAAGAATACAATGAATCCCACCTACCACAGGACATGCCCTGGGTTAGGTTCAAAAGTATTAGAGCACAAAACCCATATGCATAAGCATTATCAAGAGCAATTCCATAACCATGGACATTAACAAGGTAGGGCCCGTTAATGACACAAAGACAAAGCACTAGATCAACACCCCAAGTCTTCCAATTGTCAAAGTAGCCTCTTCTAGCACAATCACCCGCCAGGATATCATATAACCAAATCCCCTTACACAACAAAAAACCCATCACATAAATACAAACCATATAATTACCTCCCATGGGATGTTTTAAAAATAGACATAGGGAGACCCCATTTCTCTGCAAGTCTTCTATTGTAGGTATTCCTTATGATCTTGCTAAGGTCCATAGCCCTCTCCCTCACCCTCACCAAATTCTTGATGGATTTGTAGAGAGTATGGGCATCCTTGCATTCCCCACCAAAAATCCGGCTATTCCTCTCTCTCCAAATAGAGTAAACAGTGGCTCCCAAACTTAGCTTCCCTAAAGAGTACTTTAGCTTTTTCTTCCTCCACCTACTAGCAATGTGCTCAACATAATCATTCCAAGGCTGGGTGACATACCCAAGAGAAGAGAGCTCAAGGATTGGGTTCCAAATCCTTAGGGTGAAAGGACAAGCAAAAAAGAGATGATCGATCGTTTCTTGCCCATGATTACAAAAACAACACACATTGCTAGAAGCTATTCCATACCTCATCAGTTTGTCCCTGGTCTGAAGCCGATCCTTATATGCCATCCACGTGATCATGGAGTGTCGTGGAATAGCTTTTGGGCACCATACAAGGTGATGCCACTCCACTTGGTGTTGGTGCACACGAGTAACCTCCCAAGTCGATTTAATAGAGAACTTACCAGATGCATTCGGCTTCCAAACTACCACGTCCTCGCCCTCCTTTGGATCAAAGTCGATAGAATCCTTCATGCCCATCAAAGCCCAAGAATTAGCCATTGGCCATCTCCACATTTTCCCATCCCAAATCTCACACACCTTAGCAAGATCATGTAGCCTTGAATCATACACAATGCGGCTGCCATATCTATCCTTGAGAGGGCCTCTTGGGTGCCAATTATCATGCCAAACATAAGTTGCTTGACCATTTTTGAGGATGGCTTTGATGTGCTCTCTAGCTTCCATTCTAAACTTCAAAATGCTCTTCCAAGCCCAAGAAGCATCCGAAGGTATAGGAATCTCCCAAAAGCTCTTCCTCACCAAGTACGTTGTTTTGATCCACTCAACCCATCCGAAGCCACTATGTACTTGATTAAGATTCCAAACATGTCTCATCATGGCTGCCTTATTCCAATCCTTAGCTCTCATAATCCCCAACCCACCTGCTTCAACAGGGACACAAACCTTTTCCCATGCAACTTTGGCCTTTGAGGTTTTCATGTCACTCCCAGACCATAGGAAAGCCCTTAACGTAGCATCAATTTCATTGAGGATCTTTGAAGGGAGCACGAAAATAAATGACCAATAAACTTGAATGCTAAAAAGAATGGATTTAATGAGAATTACCCGACCAGCATAGGAGAGGAATTTGCTTCACCAAGATTGAATGTGAGCCAAGATTTTGTCCACCAAAGGTTTGCAATCAGAAGAGGAAAGCTTTTTGGTTATGAGAGGGACACCCAAATACTTCATTGGAAGCTTTCCTTCTTGATACCCAAGAATCGGCAAAAGAGCTTGTTTGCCCTCCTCACTCACCTCAGAGTAGGAAATGTTGTTTTTTGAGGGGTTTGCTTCTAACCCTGCCCAAAACGTGAAACGATCCAATGCTCTCTTGACAATGCCAAGAGAGTTTTCATCCGTGTGGCAAAAGATCATTAAATCATCTGCAACATAAAGATGGTTTAGGTTTAACTCTTTGCACCTCCAATGGTGCTTAAAAGAAGGTTCCCTCGTCACTTTATTTATAAGCCTTGATAGAACCTCCATGGCAATCACAAAAAGATAGGGAGAGATAGGGTCTCCCTGCCTAACCCTCTAAAACCGCTAAAGAATCCGGATAATTCCCCATTAACGGCTACAAAGTATTTAGGAGTTTTGATGCACTCCTCTATCCACCCAGTAAACTTCAAAAGAAACCCGAGAAGCTCTAGAGCTTTAATAACGAAATCCCATCTTACATAATCATAAGCTTTCATAAGGTCTACCTTCATTGCACATCTAGCCCATTTAGACGACTTACAATCATAGTGGTGGAGAAGTTCTTGGCTCAAAAGGATATTATCCACAATTTTCCTCCCCACAACGAAAGCACCTTGGGCTTTGTTGACGAAGTAAGGCAAAACTCTTTTAACTTGATTGGCCATAATCTTGGAGATGCATTTGTAGATGGTGTTACAACATAAGATCGGATGAAACTCACTACAAGATGAGGGGTTTTCATTCTTTGGGACTAACGCAATAATGGCACAATTCACCTCTCTAAGCATTTTCCCAGACTTGAAGAAATTTTGGATCGCTTTAACAACATCATGACCTACAATATCCCAAGCTTTTTTAAAGAAAAAAGCTCCATAACCATTTGGCCCCGGTACTTTGTCTTTACTCATTCCAAACATGGTCTCTTGAATCTCTTCTTTGGAAACCTCACTAATCATGGAGTTGGCCTCTCCTCCAAAATAACAGGGGTGATAAGTTCCTCCATGCCCTTATAGGAAACACCCGCACACTTATCTTCAAAAAGATTTGAGTAGAAAGACACAAACTCCTCTTTGATTCTATCTTGATCACTAGTAACCGAGTCTTCTCCAATTTCCAAGGAGATAATCTTATTTCTATTCCTCCATCCAGCAATCGATTTAAAGAAGTAAGAAGTGTTAGCATCCCCTTCCTATAACCATTTAACCCTAGACTTTTGCTTGGCTAATGATTCTTCAGCTTTTGAAAGCTTGACCATCTTTTCCACCTTAAGTTTCTCCTCTTGCAAAAGAGCACCATCAACCGGATCCACAATAAGCCTTTCTTGGACTTGGGCCAGATCATCCCTTTCAAATTTCACTCTTTCCGAAATGTTCCAGAACTCCTTTCTATTTAGTCTCTTAAGCTCAACCTTCAACGCTTTTTGCTTAGAGACCAGCCTGTACATGGGGTTACCCTCCACCTCCACACTCCATACTCTCTCGACGATAGGTAAGAAGTCCTCATGCTCTGCCCAAAAGTTGAAAAACTTGAAAGGGGGTTTCTTACCTTGAAAGTTCAACCCACTATCAACCACCATTGGACAATGGTCCGATATGCCTGGAGTAAGAAAGGACGCAAAAGAGTTGGGAAACCTGCTGCTCCAATGCTCATTACACATCACCCGATCAAGTTTACACCAAATCCTCCTATTGACCTCTCCTCTGCTATTCCAAGTGAAGAATGAACCAATGGCATTAAGATCATCAATATCAGCTTCCTTACACATGTCATTAAACTCTTCACATTGCGAATTCCATTTATTAGAACCTCCCTTTTTTTCCCCTGCAAATCTAACCGCATTAAAGTGGCCCATAATAACCCATGGCTCACGTTGGCAAACATTGGCATAGTGGATAAGCTCCTTCCATAGCTCCTTCCTTTCCCCCACACTATTCATCCCATAGACAATAGAACAAAAGAGCATGGAATTATCTTTCAAAATTCTAACCTTACAAAGAATTGCTTGAGCCAAAGTTTGGATAACCTGCACATGCAAAATATCTCCATCCCAACCCACCCAAATTCTCCCCCTTTCACAAAAAAAATAGTTCTCAACCATAGCCCAATTACAGAACACCATTTTCCTAACAACATCCATATTATTCTCCCTAACCCTAGTCTCCAAAGCAGCACATAAACTTAAATTATTGCTACTAATAAGATTCCTTACCTCTTTTTGTTTAATGGGGAATTGAGCCCCCTAACATTTCACACAGCAACTTTAACCATGGCTATGAGGTTGCTTCGGTGGAGTTCTCGCCTTATTCCCTAGTTTCTTCCTTTTATTCTTATAAAGGCTTCCCTTTTCCTTCTCCAATCCTTCCTTTTCATCCACGTGTACCAGGTTCCCAAACGGTTGACAAATTGGAGAACTAGTTCCCATGTCACCGTCCTCAAACGTATTCAAGGAAAGAGCCTTACTAGTTGGAGTTCTCTCCTCTCTATCCTCATTTGCATACGTAGATTCCTCCCCGAAAACTACTCTACTACACTCTGTTTCACTTTGCGACCCTTCCTCAATACCATTCCCGCTCTTCCTTTCCTCCCCGTCAGCAACATCTCTCTTTTCCTCACCCTCTTCGGATAGCACCACAAATTGGTTCACACTCTCACAAGGTTTCGGGGCCTCACCTTCCTTCTTTCCCTCTACCCTCTGCTGACTTACTTCTCAAGGGACACTCATATTCTTCTTACTAGCAACTTATCTCCATTCTTGCACATGAGGAGAAGTCAACTTTTTGGGTAACAACGGTTCGGTTTCCTTAGGAGCCAAATGACAGTTTCTTTAGACGTGCCCAAACGTTTTGCACCAAGAACAGGTAAATGGCTTCCAAGCATACTCCACCTTAACTAATGCAATCTCACCACTCGGCATCTCTAGCTCAAATTCCTCCTTAAACTCTACCAAAGAATCCATCTCAACGCACACTTTAGCAAATTCAAGCCTTTCACCTGATTCGGTAATATTGTCCATATAAAGAGGGATGCCCATAACACTTGTTATGTGGCTTAAACCCTTGGGAGTCCATAACTCAAGACGGATATCGTAGAATTTCGCCCATATGGGAACCCTAGTAATCCCATTCATGCCCAACAACAAATTAGGAGTCCATAACTTCAAAAAGAAAGGCTGTCCTCCTATGAACCATGGACCACACTTCAGCACATCCATTTTAGTAACCTCATCTGGGAACTTAAGCAAATAGCCCCCATGCCTATATGAAGTGACCCCCACAGCTCCAAAACGACTCCAATTTCTATCAACATAGCTCTTTACTTGGTAAAATGGCAATTTCCTCCCAAGGAAAAACCCGACTAGACAATTACTCCATTTGTCTATCCCTAAAGCCGCAATTTCAGTAGGGATTGAAATTCTAAACTTACCACCTCCCTTGCTCATATTTGGTTTGACATATTCAAGGGAAATATCAGACCTCTTTGAGACAAGAACACTTGTCCAAGCTCCTTTTCCCTCCCCTTTCACCTGTTTTTCATCTCCACAACCGTTTGGCCTCTCAATTTTATTCCCTCCATCCACCACTTTGCTTGGGAGAGGGGGGTAATCCTCAGAAATCTCATCAGCATTCACTGCCACATTTTCATAAAATCTCCCCTTTCCATCAAAGCAACTCCCTAGCTTCGGATTGAACTCACCTTTCGCCAATAGCACATCATTACGGCCAGATTTTTCTATAGCAATAGGTGCCTTGACAACCTCACGGCCCTTATCCCCACCATGGCAGATTGTGTCCTTCCCATTTTCACCTATCCTAGAAGAAACTCGGTTACCCTCCAAAGCACCCTTGGATTCAGCACAAACAGCTCCTCTATCCACCCAAATAATTTCACCTTTTTCAAATTCAGAATTCCCTCCATGAATAGATTTCACCAACCAGACTTGGACATACTCTCTATTAGAAATGGCGGCCCCTTTCAAGACTCCAGTAGGCACCAAAATACCATCCTAACACTTGTAATTTTCTTTTCCTCAATGTTTGGATATTGCTCACTCAAACCAGAGCTTTTCTCACGTTCAACAGCCCCCATGCGAGGCAAGGAAAAGAGGTAGCCAGAAAAATTGAAATTTTTTTCCTCACCTGATGACGTGGCACCTCAGGTGGCGTGGCACCTAAGGTGACATGGCACACGTGTGGGGATAAGGGATGACAAGGCAATGAGGTGGCATGACCAATGTAAGGATAGGATGATGTGGGGATTTGTAAGATAAGGGAAAAAGGCAATCACAATAACCAATAGGAAGAGGTGAGGTGGAAAGGAAAATCACTTATGGAACTTGGTATTAACCAATCCAAAGGAAATGGATAAAGCAAATCCACCAAGCCAATAGGAGAAAAGGAGAATCTTAGCCAAAGATAAAAGGGGAAAGAATTCAAACCAACAACCACACTCACATTCTTGAAAAGGAAACCAAGACCAGCCACACCAGAGATGCTCCAGCCAACAAGATGAACCAAACTCCGGCAGCACAGCTACAAGCTTCGACCAACAAGAAAAATGAAACTCCGGCAACAGAACTACAATCTCCAGTGACAGCACAACCAGCCCCAAAGAACCACCTTAGCAACAACAACAAGCATGGACATCCAACTCTCCCAAACAAAACCACAAAGCTTCAGCTCAACAAGATGAAACTCAGGCCAAGCAAGCCCAACTCCAGCCAAAACCACTCCCAACACCAACCAACACCACAAAATCGCACCCAAACCGACTAGACTTTCACCACTCCAAAAAACACCCACTCCAAACAACAACCTCTCCCCACTCAAACAACAACTAAACTGACCAGAAAAGCTCAGAAGAAAAACAAAAAAAAAAAAAAAACGAAAAAGATGGAAGATGGCTGGTTAGATGACAAGGAGGTGTTTACTAGTAAAGGTGGAGGATATGTGATGAAGGTGGACTGAGGAGTGGTGGGTGGGGTGGAAAAAGGATGGAAGGTGGGCTGTTTCACTAATCCTAGAGAGAAGAGAGAGCATTTTCTCTCACTAACCTTATGGTAATGTGTAGTGAGAATCAGTATTAATTTGTTTGTGATCAGAGTTATCAGAGATAAGGGCTGTATTAGAGACAAAACTTTTATCAGAATCAGAAACTTCATTATTTATCAAACAAGTAGTACATTGATAATTTTCAGTGACAAATGATGTACAAGTGCTATTATTCAAAACATGAGAGACCTGATCAACATTATTACTAAGATCAAAAGAAGTCTGACCTGAAGACGACTGACCTTTATTATAGAATTGACTTGTATTATTGGACTAACCTTTTTTATTTGAAACAGTAGACATACCCTAAAGACAATCATTTAACTAGACCGAACACCTAATGTCATTAAAGGTATTTGACAATTGAGAATTAGATTCATCAATAAAGCTAACAGAGGCTATATGGGAAGACAAATTATTTGGGGATGACACATGAGTAGCATAAGAAGGCTTGTTGGAGGATGAATTTAGCTGGTACATGCCCCCTTTAAGATCCCCTTGCAGTAGGATTGCTCTTGTGAATTTGTCCTTGACAACACAACAATGAGCATCAAATTCAACAATAACATTGTTGCCTTTAGTAAACTTAGAGATACTTAATAGGTTTTTTGTAATTTTAGGAACACAAAGAATGTTCTTGAGATGTGGCGTCTCGAAATTAGGGTTTTAAGGACTTAGTTTCCTTAGGGTTCTAATTTGATCATCCTCAACACATTCCTAGCAAACTAACTTACCAACAGGAATGATCACAACATGGAACGATTTAGCATAGAAGTTCTTGACCAAATTCTTTCCTCCGGCAAAATCGGCAAAGCTGAGAAATGATATCACATCGTTTCTACAGGAAGAGTCTGTTAGAGTAGATGCCCTAGGGCCAATCAATTATTGTAGAATTGACTCTTTGTAAT